GCTTATCAACTTAAATTTGAAAAATAAACGAATTAAAACATGCATTTCTTTAATTTAAGTATTTATTAAATAACAAGAGTGGTAATTATATATCGCCAGAAATTATAAAACAAAATTTCATAAGTTTTATCGACCTACACTGGCTATAGCGATTTTTGTTGACCGTATCAAGCTATTAAAATTATTATTGCGAAAAATATTACCCCAGCCAGGATTCGAACCTGGGACCTCCCTACAATCCTGATTACATACAATCCTGACCCAACAACTGATGTTATTAATTTATTAATTATTACACCAAGGACCAAAAACTTGGTTTCCTCCGTTAGGAGGAATAGGATCAGGGGGAGGGAAGGGAAAAGGGAAATTCTAAAAATCGCATATCGACAGGTTATTGTGCGGTCGACAATCCGTATCGACGCACAGTTTCTGGAAAGTCGAAATAGATGCGTAAACAACATCTTAAGGCCCGTCTACATAGGACGCAATACGCAAAACGCAGGACGCAGACGCGCACGCAGGATGACGTTTCACGCAACGTACACGCATTCGCAAATCAGTCATATTATACGCGACTAGTTGAACCAAAAGATAAAGTTGGTTCAACTAGTCGCGTATAACTGATTTGCGAATGCGTGTACGTTGCGTGAAACGTCATCCTGCATGCGCGTCTGCGTCCTGCGTTTTGCGTATTGCGTCCTATGTAGACGGGCCTTTAAAGTTATATACACGATATTGCGAATGGTATTATCACAGCCCCGGTGGTCGAGCTGGGTAAGACGCGCGTCACGGATTGTAGGGAGGTCCCAGGTTCGAATCCTGGCTGGGGTAATATTTTTCGCAATAATAATTGTAATAGCTTGATACGGTCAACAAAAATCGCTATAGCCAGTGTAGGTCGATAAAACTTATGAAATGTTGTTTTATTAAATATCAAATAGTAGACAATTTTTAATTTACAAAATTCTACTTTAATTTTATAAAATGTTTACTAAGATATAAGTTTTACAGCGAAGAAAATTGAAATAAACTTACATTTCTATAAGTTACTCTTGTCTCAATATAGTAAGCCAATCCTTTTTAATTCGACAGAGGAGAGTAAGAAATATTGATTTTATTTTTATATTGTCTTACTTTTATACTAAATTAGGTTGTGAGAAATATAAATGCGTCAAGAATATTTTTTGTCTCGGTAACAGAAATCCTTTCTGAGGGTGCACGTCAGAGCCTTAAAAATTTTATCATTTAATATTTTTTTAACTTTGACACGAGGGCCAACGTTAAGTTTCTCACGTAAATCATGAAGAAAAATGTATCAGTGCGCTATAAAAATGTAACAACGATTACCTCGGGTGTAGCGCAAATGGCGGCATTGACAAAACGGCGGGGGAAGAATCGAGTGCGACGAAGGAAAATGCAATTTCGTGCCCGAACACCGACACACGGAAAAAGTAGCGTACTTACACGTCCCGGAACAGGGGCTGGTGGACCCCGCCGTACTTCCGGCGCACGTAGAGCCGCACAATTCAAGAATACCAACCTGCGGACAAACAAACGGGTTAATTAAAAGCTCGGCTCCGCGAGGTGCGAGGAGAGGAAGCGGCACGAGGGATGGAGGCACAATGTACGGCCGGGACGAGGCCGGGATGGTCTCTCCTATTTAGGCGCGCGCGTGGCACAAATATACGCGCGGTGCAGGCAGAAATATATGCCGCGCGTATACATATGCATTTCCCGCGCTGACGTCGAATATGAAATTTTTCGCATCCCGACACCGTCCCCTCGTCCCGCTAATCGTTTTCTCCGCCCTCGCAAAAATTATGCGTTATTGTTGGCGGACCTCCACGATTCGCGCCGACAGGAGCAATCGTCGGCGAGAACGGCTCAATGAGGGCCCTTTGTTTCGTATATGCGCGCGAGCGTTGAAATTTAATTAACGATGCACAAATATGCTTGCATGAGTATGCGCGGGCGTGACTCATTGTTGCGTTTGTGGGAAACATTGTTTCTCCGAGATGTAACGTAAAAATAGAATCAGCCGGCGAATACTGTGCGATGAAGAGGAAAGAGAATTGCACAAAGATTTAATTTCGCGAGTAAGATGCCCCCCAAATACCAGAAAATAATTCGTAAAGTTTCATAACATAACGAATACAGTTTGAGATTAAACCGAGACGACGTGCTTCGCGCTTCAAACGCGGCAAGTGCGCTGCGCCGCCATATCGAGCGCCATATACGCTCTCAGTAACGAAACTTGGTGAAAATAAAATTAAACGTGAGCGCCCGTTGCGAAAATAATCCGCCGCCTCGTGTAACTAATTTGTTCGTTCACGGTCGCACAACTGATCGGGACGATGCAGCGATGGTCGTAAAGGCGAAGGGGGAAAAGCCGCTTTTACGCGGAGACCACATTGACGGCAACGACTTTAACGACATCCAATGTCCGACGAATAACCGGCTGGGTCCGCTATCGCGGGCTTTCCTTCCTCCGTTGCCGCAGGAACACCCGATAGGTCTCACATGTTGTCCCGTACACGCACGCGATAAATCGTCGGCTCGTAAAGCAACGTTTCTCTATTCGGTCAGGGAGAGACCCCGAGGAAATTAAATGCTCCTCGAAAGGACTCATCAAAATCGTGTTTCGACGCGCAACGAAATTAACTCCCTATAAAGTACAGACGTATCCTTGGGTTAACGTAGGCTGAGTGATGGGACCCTCGACCGTTTCCTCACGATCTCGATTGGCATCGTACATTTACGAGCGCGAGGCGTCAAGTTAAGAACGTAAACTAAATAGATTGCGAGGTAGATTGATTTTAAAAGTCGTAACGCTGTCGAGGATTTTGCGCGAAATTGATAGAATGAATAGCAAAATAACCGTTGTACTATTCATGCTTAATGGTTTACGATTATCGTAAACATATTTAGAGATGTATCGGTGTTGAGTGTTTTATTTTTATTTTAACTTATCAATGCTATTTATTTATTCTTTCATAAAAGAATCAGTTTTATGAAAGAATAATTACTATCACTTTTAAATTTTGTACTTGCAGTTCGACCTCTTTTACTGTCTTAGGTCCGACTGTATAATAGAATTAAAGGTTCAACATGAAGCCGAAATTTCGACTCGGGTTTTTTTGCGGAAAATATCGTAGATTGCGGGGAATTAAAGCCAGTAGCGTATGCCGAGTTGATTAAGTTGCGCTAAGGTTGCTTTCTTGATTCTGGGCAAGGTTAGCGGAACTTCGGGGTGCCACCGAAGTTCAGGGCCCTATGGAAATACGCATAAGTTGCAGCCCGCGAGTACTCCCGGCGGTAGTAACGTCGGCACACTCCATGCCCGAGCGGAGTAAACTTCTCTGATTTCCCCGCTTGTGAAGTAATTATCATCCGCGCGCGCGCGCTTATCGCGGCGGTGTACATCGTTGGCGGGTACTTGAACGTGTAATAATGGAAATTTCAGCGGCCACCGCGTTGCGGAAGACCGGCGCACTCGATCAAACTTGGCGCAACTTTGTTGCACGTCACGCCGAGAGCCGCGGTTTCCAGCTTTCCGCCGTGCGATTTTCTTTCTCTTCTTTTTTCCCGCCGCGAAAATCTCTGCCAATCGCGCGGAAACGCCCTGGAATTTTTGCCACGAGTCATTCCGTTTGGCGCGCGCTCAAATGGCAGGAAGATCAATGCGCTTGAAAATAAGACAAAATTAGATGTTTATTTCTCGAAGAGATATTGGTTGCGATTTGGGAAATTTATACGGCCGTAAATATAATATATTTAACTTTGTTGTCCGTAAATTTTTTTTATTCCGCTCAAGACTATGTCTTTTCCGTACAGTCTCCCGTTCTCCTTTTATTTCTCGATCAAATCTGCTAGTATGTCATGACTTTAACTTTTATTTTTCATTTTTTTAAATTATTTCTTGACTTTCATCAAATTGCAACTTTTATTTCCCAGTCAATTGCTTTAAAAATCACACCGTGAGAGTTACATTTAAGAAAGAAAAAATCACTCAAAAATAAATGTTATTCCTTAAGCAAAAATATTTCCCTCAAAAATAAAACTCAGCCTGATTTATTGACTACAAAACAACAATTAGTCACTGTTAGGGTGCGTTAGGGCACGTCTTACAGGATTTTTGCCCGCTTAATCGAATGAGACCATAAATAAATCACAAAGAATAATCGTTTACTAGATATATCTAATTTTTCATGGAAAATGATGATATATCTAATTTCACGGAACATAATGAACATGAAATAATACATAGATCATATCACAAGTATCAAAACTTTATTACTTACATAAAAATTAAAAAAAATTGTGCTTTCTGTAATTGACGCAGGTAACTCATAAAAATAAAATAAGCACCTAATAATGAAGGTGTTGCGTAAGGCAACTTTAGAATATCGTTTGGGACCCTCTTTCGATAGGCGAACATAGAAATTAAACACGCGTGATTTTTATTTTTTGAGAGAAAAAATAAAAGCCGCGGAACAACTGTTATTTCTGATTAAAATACAAATCGCTCAAAGGTTAACAGTTAATTTTTATCGAAATGGGAAAAGAGTTAACAATTTATTTTTACTTTTAGATATGAATCGTCTATGATTTAAAAAAAAATATTAATAAAAAATCATTCTTGTTTATTAATCCGAAATAATAAAGGTTTTGCGCGAAAATAAACTTCAAATTGGTCAGTTGGTACAGTGGGCTTGACAAGTCGAATGGATTTTTTGTTTTAAAAATAACTAAAAGCAACTTATGAAAAGCGATATTTCCGAGAAATATCTTCGTCTCCAAACACATAAGGATATTAATTATTACGATTACACGCAATGTAACCATTACGTTTATACAATATATTTCATTGCCATCAATCGTAACTCATCGCTGCGGAACAAGTCGTAACGAGATGGGGATAGGTCGTTAATTTTCTCGCGCGATCGCGCGGAAATCCACGCGGACGATCCATTCGTCACCGAGTCGGAGTCTCCATGGATTTAGCCACGGATGTAGGCCGCGCAGTACCACGCGGATATGCGCGCTAAACGCAGCCGGAGCGAGTCCTCCTCGGTCGGAGATACGATATTTCGATTCGATCGTAGTGGGAGGCCAGGACAGGAGAACGGGGGGGAGGCGGTGCGACAGGTGCGTTCAGAATACATACGTGTGGCCAGAGGATGCGCGGAAATATGTCACGCGCCTAAATCGAGATCACCGCGCGAACTCTAGCCAAACGGTCGAACGATCTTGAACCTCTTTTTGGGGAGGCTGCGGTGTTTTATTTGGCCAAACGCGGAACAGTGTCGGGCCGGGCCAGATATAGAAGTCCGAAGCGCGGCCACGCAATCGCGGGGATCGCCTCTGCCGATCGGGCTTCTCTGTGCGACGCGACGCGGACCGCGGAAATAACGCAAACTGCATATAAAACGAAACCCGCATCCGCACGCATGCATGCCTCTGGATTGAGGATTGATGGATTTTTCTCGGACCGTTTTGGCAAAGTGAAAATAATCCCTGTACGAAATAGAGGACCGCGGCTCCGACAGCGGTTGGATCGCGACGCGATAGTAGAATTGATATTTAGAAAACCCATAATTTCCTGCGTGTTTCTCGGACCTCGGACGATAATGATTTATCACGCTGCGATCTTGCGATCTTGTACGCAACAAATGCCGCGCGAGCGTTGCAATAAACGTGCAATAAACGTGAACGCACGCAGGGGAAATGTAAACTACGGGCCGGCCGCAGCGTTACGACTTTAAAATTGGAACGTGCAGATATATTTCCATTATTCGGGTCCCCGGAACAATACCAAAGATTGATTGGTTCGTTGTTAATAAATGCGCGACACAGTCCAAGGTAAACGCTTGCGAATTGGGCGAGTTGTCCCCCGGTCATTCGTAAGTTTATGGCGCGTGAAACGCGCAGCGGGAGTTTGCATAGCGTGCGTGCCTTTCCGCATCTTTTATAACCATAAGTCAGCCACGACATTTACGACACTTTAACGCATAAAATTGCAGAGGCCATTAAAAAAAAGGGCTGCTACCGTCGCGAGTCGCGCGCACGAGAGGCGACTCGCTGACGGACCGATCTTGACCATTGTGATTTAATCTCCCGCACGAGGAACATCTAAATAAAATCCAAAGCTGATCGCTGCAGATTAAAACCTTCGAAACTATTTAAATGTCAAAGTAAAACTGTAAGTTTGTCGAATCCGAAAGCAATTTAATTTAATAGAAGTAGAATTGTCAAGTAAAGTGCGGTTAACTTTAGGATCGTTAGTCTACTTTTCTTCCACAAAGATTACGGTATTATTTAATTCGAGAGAGTAATTTATTTCTGCAAGCTCGCACTACTTTCTACGTTTAATAAATTTCGTTATTTGCGCCCTTACTGTTTTAACTTCCCCTCACATCACTGCACAGTTAACTCCGTCGATGCGGGAAGAAAAAAGTTTTAAATAAACAGCAAAAGATACCGCAGGCTGATTTCAATCTCACTGCTCCACTTTGTCTTCAACATCATCTCCCTCGTTCTTCGTTCCTATAAATCGTACTCCGATTACCGATCGACTCATAATCTGTCATCGAACTGATCCAACACCCACACTTCGACGGCATGTACCGAATGTTTAAATACCGATCTATAAACACGATCTAGGCAATCGCGCTCAGGGATGAGTCGCTCACCTCGGAGAGGCAGGCTGCGTTCATGGCGGAAGACGGCGTGTGCGTTGAAAGCCGCAGGAAGAAAAGCGGTAGGAGAAGATCTAGAGGGAGAGAAAAAGAGAGAGAGAGAAGGAACACGGCGTTCATCGTTTCTAGGGTAATTTTAGATCGGTAAGATAGCGCCTGCGATTCGTAAGAGAGAAAGAGACGGAGAAGAGGCTGGCGTGAAGAAGAAGGATGGGACGAGAGAGAGAGAGAAAGAGAGAGAGAGAAAGAGAGAGAGAGAGAGAGAGAGAGAG